AGTCAAAATAACTATTTTGAACTGTAGGCAGAGTCAGACGCCGATAGGAAATGGGTTTTCCGAGCAAACAGAAAAATTATGAAAGTCTTTTCCCAGTCCGGGATGAAATACAATAATCACTTAAGGCCCAAAAAAGGGTGGTGTCTTACCTTACCTGTGCTGTCCCCGGAGCAAGAAGCCAAAATGCTGCTATGGTGATAGGGTTTGGTGTGCCTGAGAAAGACCCCAACCCAATTCTGGTGGTAGCAAGCTTTCGAAGTAAAGACCGAAACAGTTCTGCATGAGGGCATAGGCCGCAAAGCGGGAACTGGGATCTTCCAGGGGAGTGCTGACAGTAGAGAAATCTGTCCGCATAAAATTCCGAGACTGACTTATTGCCTATGCGCAGAGACCTTTGTGGTCATTCGGGCTGGGTCAGCAAACCAAGACTGGCCCGCTACGACGGGACCCAACTTAAAGAGACCTTCCTCAATGGATTCGGTGTCTGTTTGGTGGTAGTTGATAAAGACGTTCTGCGTTCTCCAGAAGCCTGCCCTCCGTGTATGCTCGAGGGGGGCACCTGACGCTAGCACTAGTGAGTTGGCAAGCACACAGACCTCATGTGCTCGTACTTGGTGTCTCTGCAAGCTCTGTGTCGAGGAAGTTAAAGTAGACCTAAAGTCTAATTATAGACCTTTAATACAGTTGCAGTAAACCACCTAGTTATGGAAGTGGGGAGGCCGGCCTATCCTGTCTGCCTGGGCCGTAACACAAAGACATGTGCCTGGCACCCCGTTCTGAATCCTTAGTACGGTTTGGTAGCAACTCAGTGCTCGAACCGAGCAGAGGAGCAATTCCTCCTGACCCCGGGCAGACAAAATTTGACAGCCGGGGGATGATGATCAGGTGAGGATCGTATCCTGGGATTTGGTTCTAGTCGAGAAACCAGATTCGTGTCTTTCGCACAATTTGATTGTCCATAACAGCGGTACATCATCCGAGAAGGACAATGCCCCCAGCTATGGTCGACGCCTACCTGAGGCGAGGGCCAGTAGGAAGACTATTTTCCATGTTGAAAAATTTTAGTGGTGCTGATCAGAGAGGCTCAAAGGGCGGTCTGCTTAGAGCGGACAACACAGCGAGTTGGGTGGTTCCCTTGTATGGGGTCTTGGCGTCTGGAAAGCAGTAAATAGTCTCCTAATAATAGGACAATCGGCTAGTCTTGTTCCCATACGTTCTCAATGGTGGGGGGGACAAGGCCGACCTGTAGCCAACGATCGCTGCGTAGGACAAACCCACTTTGTCAAACAGGTGGACGAAGGAGCCTACTACCTGGCCAATAGAGGGATGGTATGGATCAATCTCCCTTCTGCTACACCAATCAGTGTATGCTCACAGCCTAGAAATGTAGGCTGCATTGGTGGAATCCCTGTTCGCCCTGGCCAGGACGTTGGCAGCCCGCTCAGATAAGGCTTTCGTATGTGCTGGTTCAATGAGAGCCTCTATGCGTGTAAGTGATACCTGCTGGGCTCGTTGGTAGTGTGCCGTCTGGTTGGGACGGCAGGTTCGGTAAGTTTCCACTAGCATTTCCGACAGAAGTGAAAATTAGGCCTTGCTCAGCCAATTGGGTGCGACCAATGATAATATGCAGCCGTGCACCTGTTGAAGTTTTCTCCGGTGCCCGGTGAACTAGCGGGAAAGGAGGAAAGACGTACACAACTAAGTGGGTCTACGGGGTTAGCAAAGCGACCCTGGCCCAGGCTCCTGAAGTAGGCAGGAGTGTTACGTACGTCAGGAGCTTGCCAGACTGTTCCTTAACCCTGGAAGGTGGTGTGCGGTTAGCTCCACATTGTATTCCAGGCACCAAAGGAGGATTTGCTTCGCTAGGACTGACAACGATGAGAAACGCGTCCTCCCCATCCTTCTTGAAGGAGACCACCGCTGCGTTTCCTGTGCGGAGCAGGACACTGTGGTCTCGAACTACGGGTAGAAAGCGTGGTAGTGCTAAGTATACTGCTTCAGTTCGAGTTGGTTGATATAGTAGTCTCGAAACTGATGCGGGGGCCATATCCTTGGACTTGTTGTCCAGTAGATGCACTCCCCAACCTTGGGAAGAGGCATCGGTTACCAGAGTCATATTTGCGGGGAGCGGGTCCAAGGGGGCCCTCTGTCCGAGGTTGGCCAGTGACGGCCACTAGGGCAGGGCTTCCTTCACTAGTTCCCATAGGAGAGCTCGGCGTTATAACAAGCGTTATACCGGGCGGCTGCGTAGCGCGGCCTAGAGAACCAAGGTCATCATTCCGATGATCCGCATTAGTTCTCAAAGGGGACACTGAAGGAACGCTGTCTAGGCATTCAGCTAGGCTGCTTAGTGCTAAGCAACACACTTGCAATAGCTAAACCAAGCTTACCTCTGTGTCAAAACTCCATGCCCAGGGACACCAACTGCGCGTTGGGTCGAGGTGGGACTTGTCGATTTACGAGCCCAACTGGTGAAGTAAATCCTGTATTAGCCTGACGTGTTTGACTATTAACCCCTTGTCCGGGTTGTGTAGTAACCAGTAGTCTGGGTACAAATTGAGGTGTACCGACATTTGGTGAAGCAGCAGCACAACCTGTTTCGCCACTCTGGTGAACACGTAGGGCGCTGTGCATAACCCGAAGAGGGGGCACCCGAAATTCGAATATTTGGCCCAGCTGGGTGATTCGAAGGAGATGGCAACTCGCTGGGTGCATCAGTATGTGCAGGTAGGCGCCGCTTAAGTCTAGCGGGGCTAGCCAGTTGAAACGGTGGATGGAGAGAAGAACCCTGAATGGTGTCTCCATGTGGAATCAATTGAAGAGCACATGCTGATTCAGTCTGCCTAGGTCCAGAACTGGACGCCCGCCACTTGTAGATTTGGTACTACGAACACATTTAGGTAGAAGCCTGGATTTAGTTCCGGCTGATGTACTCTGTGTATGGCGCCTTTTCCCAGCAAACTGCTACTTCCTGCCTGATTGCTTCCACTGGCAGTGCACAACAGGGGAGACACTGACGGGGGTGATGGAGATTTCAGCGGTATCCCGTAACCGGATGTCACCACCTGGAAAGGTCCAGGGATATGTCACCCGCTGTCTCCAAACCGGACTAAGCCGGCACAATCTGTGTACGACAGGGATATGTGGCCATGGGTTCGGCAGTTGCGGAAGGGGGGGGGGGGGCTCTCGTATCTCTCTTCTCCCATGAGGTGAGTTCCCCAAGGTCTGAAGTAGTCACTAAGTTGTGACCTGGCCACTTGCTGCAAGCATGCCTGTCCCCCCGGTTGCAGAGGTGAGCGTCAAACACGCTTCCCACGCTGCCGGGGTAGACGTTCGCCCAGGGAGGTTGAGGAGCCACCACCTGGCTCTTTCCTCCCTGGGGGCGCGCCACTACTCTTCCCTCCTATGGTATGAGTGCTTGCCTCCTGGCTGACTCTGGCTAGCGGACGATGCCATAGGGCGTTGTGTTTTTCTGTGATTGGGGTGCACTCCGCTTGCCCTTGGCAGGGCCAATTGACTAGCGGATTCGATCTGAACCCTCTGGTTCATTGCACTTCGAAGCTCCGAGACTGTACCTCCTGACTCTGCTTGTCCGTGAAAACACGTGCGTCTAAGGCTAGTCTCGTAACACAGTAGTGGCACCAGCCAAGAGAGCCAGGTGACACTAGGGGAGGTCGCACGTAGATGTGTGATGGCCTGCCAGTAAATGTGTCGCCTGGTCTAGAAGGCTGGTACGTTCTGCCTCCGAGGTCTCCAGAGTCTTTGGCGTGCACAATAATGTGCTTAAGCAACTCTGCCCTCGGGGCTGGATGGGTCGTCTCTGATTGAGCTGGCGAGAACGCCCATGGAATGCGGCTGTCCCCCTTTGCCCGGTTTGCCAAACGGAAATTCGTGGTACCGGGGTCTGGGGAAGGAGCCTTGGGATCCGTTGGGGGCGTTTTGGTCTCATCCCAAGCTATGGGGTCTGATCCTGAAACCACATCGACCGGGTTGCGTTTGGTCCAGTGGGAAGTGTTGCCTAAAGATTTCCCCACCCGGGGGCCTTAAGCATTGCGTCCTCCGCGGCTGACCAAAATCCGCCCATCAACACCCACTCCGCACTCAGACGGACAGGGAGGGACGTGCCGATGGGGTTGCTTTGGATCCTGATGCACATGATCCCATAAGCGTTGAAGCAACCTTAGGACTTGATCTCCACTCGATGCGGAGAAGAAGCAGAGTGATTATACAGCCGTCTATGGTGCCGCCAAGTGTTGCCTAAAGATTTCCCCACCTGGGGGCATTAAGCGTTGCATCCTCCGCGGCTGACCACATCCGCCCATCAACACCGTTTGCGTGTCCTGCGCCACACTTCGCACTCAGACGGACAGGGAGAGACGTGCCGACGGGGTTGCTTTGGACCTCGACGCCCGTGATCCCATAAGTGTTGAAGCAACCTTAGGTGGCCGCCTT